TTGACTTACTATTTTGGTAGGTAAAAGTTCTAGTGACTTCCACGTGCTCTTTTTCTATTCAGTTTTCCTCTGTAAATCCTCCACTCCATGCATCAGGGAACTAGTATGGATATGGTTCCAGTTTCTGCATTTGTCTTTTCTTAGCTCTGTATTCCAAACCAGGGAAATAAGGTGAGTTCAGGTACCTGCTGGGGCCACTGGTAATAGAAATTTAGCCAAAACTCAGTCCATCTCCTGACCTTTATCAGCTCCTACCCTAACTAGTGAACCACAATGGCGTGTTAGTTCTCTAAGTGTCAGTGTCAGCCCAGATCCAGTGCCCAGTTATCCTAGTGATTAATCCCCTTTTTCCAGTGCATAGTCACCTTGGTAAATGGTTCCATGTTTCTTTGAGGAAGGTGAGGAGGAAGATTTACAGTATGATCTTCTGGCAGTATGTTAGGGTTTCCCAAGGGAACCCCTCCTCTTTATTCAAGAGACACTAGGTCTGTGAACTAGCTCAAGTCTGATCATTGGTTGAGAGCCAAGACTCTTTTCTATGTTGATTGCATTTAGACCTCTGGTAATTAGACCTAGAGCTTTTCTACTTATACGAATCAGATAACATTTAAGTAGAGTGCCTACCTATTTTAGTCCTATGAGCGCTATGATCAGTTAGCCAACACCAGCGATCTCTATGGGTAAAACCATTTTGTTTACTGCTTTGATTTCAACCATGTCCAGTTTGTTTCTGGAAGTTAAGTGCTACTACTTGGCCTTTGTCACCCAGATCCAGATCCCATCATCTTCACTGAATTCAGGGAACCTAGCTTGATTGCTGTTATCCCTGCTACACAGAACTTATTGAGCCCCACAGAGCTAGGTCATCACGGATGCTGGGGCTCCCCTCAACAATACATTTCTCAAACATTGGTAAAGAAAGTGTTTTTGTGTTTTGTTTTTGTTTTTGTTTTTAACTTACCCTGGAGACATCGTTAGGGGGTGAGTGAGCATGACTTACATAATAAGTACTCTCCATATGTTAGGGAAGTTAGAAGCCATTTTCCTTAGAAACTCCAGAATGGGTACCTGTGTTTATAAGATAAGGAAGATGTTTATGATCTCAGTGAGTAAAACAACTTAATATGCAGAATGTAGTCTCAGTTTGACAAGCATAAGTGCCAACAAAATGTTTATATTTAATGCTTTTGGAGTGAAAAAGGAATTTTCTTGGTCATCAATGTATTTCGATTTTCTTAGGCAAAGATATAACCCATTTGAATGTATTTTCTTTGTCTTACTATGTGATTAAAAATCCACATTAAACAACAGTTTTTTTTCCTATTCTGAGGTTGAACAGGACTACTCATATTCTTTATGTATGTATACATACATTTATACACACATACATACACATGTATTCTGAAAAAAACGCAGTCTTTTGCCTTCTGTTGTCTCTCTATTCCTTTTCTTTCTTTCCTTTTTTTTTTTTTTTTAAATTTCATTTATTTTAGAGAGAGAGAGTGAGAGAGACCACTAGTAGAGGGGAAAGGTAGAGGGAGAAGCAGACTCCCTGGTGAGCTGGAGCCCCATGTGGGACTCGATCCCAGGACCCTGGGATGCTGACCTGAACTGGAGGCAGATGCTTAAACAACTGAGCCACCCAGGCACCCTCTCCATTATTTCTTAATAATTCTCCCCTTTTGGGGTCTTGCAGGAAACTGAAGTAGATAAGAGAATGTTTGGGATGGTTGAAGAGATAGAGTTACCTTATTCATGACAACTTACTGTGGAACTATAGGTTACTGAGGTAGTAGCATCGGCTTGAGAAACTGTGGTTTATTTGGGCCAGGTAAAAATACTAAATTTTTGAGTTTCTTTAAAAGAAAACATTTAAATTGAAGGCTTGGAACCATTTATCCTACCTCTCTCTCTGCAGTGGGCTACTCATTCAAAAAAAGATTTGCCTTTATGTAATCATTCTAGGTAAGCGTATACCTAAGAAACATAGAAATTGGGTGCTCTTTATTAGGATAGCAGTTTCTAATCCACCATGAGATCATGAAAGAAAGGTATGCCCTTGACAGGAGATTGATTAGTCCCACACAGGATGGAAAATTCATTCTTCCCCAAAAATCTTCTCTGGTCAGAAGCATTGCCGGTTAAGGTTGGCCTTTTTAGCCAAATAATTATACCACAACCCGAGTGTAATTGTTAATCAGAATCAGATTCAGGTGGTTTGCTTCAAATCACAAAGGATAATAATGCTTAAAAATAAAATCATATGATACATACCAGAAAAGAAGAATATCACTATAAATAATAAAACATTCACTGGTTATGCTGTGGTTACACACACACACACATATTTTTATATTTAATTAAGTGTTATGATGTTGAGTAGAAATACAAAATAAAATATGAAAATTCTCAAAAACAAAAACAGAAACAAAAAAAGATTTGCCGAGGTATACCCAGAGTTGAAATATACTCAATTAATCAACGTGAACAAGAGAGACTGAAACAGGTGGCGGTGATGGGAAAGTATAGGCTGGCCTCCAAGTACTGAGACGTACACGTATGGAGAGAAAGTTGGAAGGTTTTGAGTTGGTATTTTGAAATATAAAGTGTTCTAACATATTCCGTTCTTTGTTTGGACTTTGACCTTTGAAAAGCCATTTATGACCACTTTTCAAATTATTTTTATGGCTCTTAATCTGTGGATTTTTAGAGTTTTCTTTGATAAGATATCATTAATAGGTTATTGTTTCTTATAATATTCAAGGGTTAGAATATTATTAGGTTAAATCAAATTGTCAATAATGTCCTGAGTCCTAGTGACCCTTTCTTCTTATTTATAAGCATTTTGCCATGTTAAGGGACCAGAAACGATTTCTTTTTATAATGGATGTGGGTGAGACTTAATGCGTACTTTGTATTTCAACTGACTTTATTATAAAAGCATTTTCAAGCAAAGAGACTTTATATTACGTAGAGTATAAGAATATGCATGGGTCAGTAAGGACAGGGCATTTTGTCCTCTTACCCTTTAACACTCATATTAAAATGGTTTTATTCTTCTGAATTTCTAAGAGGAAGTTTTCTCCCTTATTGTAAAAGCCAGCAGATTTCCCGAGTGTCCTTGCATGATTTATTCATGGCCTACTTGTGTAGTAGCAAAAGAAAAGAATTATACATTACATTTTTTTTATCTTGTGCAAGAGCAATTTAAAAAATATATATTTGGTAAGACCTTTAATAAAATTTTTAATGAGTTGTCTTTCTAACTCATAGTAATTATAAAGAGTACTGTCTCCTCCATTATCATGGTTCAGAGCAGGGTCTCTCTCTCTCTCTCTCTTTTTTTTTTTTTTTTGGCCTCGCTGGGATATGTGTTGTTTCCATATTACTTCTGTTTTTTTTTGGTTAAATATTCTTTTGTTTAAGAAAATCTAAGGTGAACCCATACTTAAGATAGTGTTTAAATTATACCTGGATGAATGTAATAAATTTATTAGTAACATTTTGTCCACAATTAAAACACTAAATATCACCAATATTCTGAGATAGTCTGTCATTTACCAAAATTTTCCCTCCCTTTCTTCCTTCCTTCCTTCCTTTCCTCCTCTCTTTCTTTCTTTCTTTTTTCCTTTATTGCCTTCTATCCTATCCTCCAAAAGTTCTAGCAGTTGAATACATGAGGAATGGATAAATAGTCTCATGTAATTATTTATTTACTATTCTTCCTTCTCTCTTTTTTTCTTTAAAAAGATTTTATTTATTTATTTTAGAGATAGAGTGAAAACAGGAACAAGGCGCTGGTGGGAGGAGGGGGAGGACTAGAGGGAGAGGGAAGGCAGACTTCATGCTGAGGCTCTATCCTACCCCCTACAGATCATGACCTGAGCTGAAATAAAGAGTTGGGACCTCCAACTGATTGAGCCATCCAGGGGCCCCTCTTTCCTCCTCTTTTTAGACTGTAAATTCTCTGAGGACAAAGACTACACTAATCTTATTCACCTCCATTTACCTAATGCCTTAGATTAGTAAGTAGTAGGAATTCAGTAAAGTATTTGAATGAAAGAGCCAATGAATAATAAAACATATATTATGAATGCTTCTTTTTGAAATCATCCTTGTTAAAAATATGTTTCTTGTCTATTGCAATAGATTGTAAAATATGCTGGGGAGAAATTATAATAGGAAAAGAAATATTTTTAATAGAATATTTCAACATTTGCTACTTGTTTTTTAACAGTAAAAGAGAAGTACAGTGAACAATCAATTTAAAGTGGTTTTTAAAACTAAACTTTTGATGATTTTGGATTAATCTTTTGAGCTACAGTTGACCATGTGACCTTGATTGGCTCAACTAACTTATGGCCCAACTAAATTAAAATAGTTTGAGGGCATAATATGGAAATACTCATATTTTTATAATAAGTATCAGTTTTAAGGGTTTTAATTCAAACATGATGTGGGCCTATGTAGATAATAGCATTTTTGTTATTTATTTCAAATTGTAACTTGAGAATTTTAAGGGTTGAAGAGTGTTTCCAAGCATAACAGAGAATTATGTGCTCTTGGGTTCAGAAATTATTATTTAAGCAAAATAGGCCTGACTGATCAGAAACACAAGGACCAAAGTAAATGTGTGTAACTTCCCAAAACAAGGTTAGTATTTGGGCTGTTCATTTAATTGTTGGATAACAGGTGTGTACAAATACTTCAGTTATTTAGGCGATGGAGGGAAAAGAAGCTCACTACTAACTACAGTGTGGACCTCGGTAAGGTAGGAAGTAGTCGTAAATTTGCACTTGATACCTTATGAACTTAATTTGATAATTTTTTAGAAAGGCTATTAATACTTGGCTATACAGCAGTATACTTTGGAGAGGAAGACTCTGCTCAGTGTTTCATAACATCTTTTCAGCTCTAATTGTAATATCTCTGTTACTGTTTACTTAGCTTTTGTCTCCTTGTGACTTTAGGATATATTTTCATCTTACATTTTTCTCTAGGTATCCACAAGGACAAAGATAAACCTCCCAGCTTCTCTGTTGTCCTTGAGACTTTGAGGCGTACCTTGACAGATTACCAGAACAAGCTGGAAGAGGCGTCTAATGAGGTAACACTTGCACTACTTGGCTCCACACTTCTCGCCTTCGGCCTGCAGCACTCCAGTTCTGTGCTTGTTACAAAGGTCAGAAAGATTGGGAATGTTGAATTGACAGCTTCCCAGATACAAAAAATAATAAATCGTCTGTCGCTGTTCTTTCTTTAAGTGTGGCCTAAAGTCGTGTCTCACTCACGGTTTTGTAACTCTAAAGTCATACCATTATTTTCAAAGTTACGAAGACTCTGTCACTCCTTGGCCTTCAAAATTTATCTATTTGAAGTTAATAAAAAACGACACAAGTCATCTAAGGTAATATGTATTCTCTTTGAATGTTAACATGGTTTTAGGAAATTAGGACTAGGTAGTGGAAATTCCGGTTTTGACAAGATTTTAGGGTAAGATTTCAACAAATTACGGAAGTCTTAACAAAACGAGAGAGGTTAGTTCTCATTCTCTGAAGGACTGTTAAAGAAGCTTTCAAAAACCAGTGTCTGTCTGATGTAGCCTGGTAGTTTTTGGTTTGCTGATTAAAAAAGCTCGTGCTTCTATTTTTCATCTCATTTGTGTTGTTTATTGTGCGTGTTGGTAATTTTCTTGGGTATTAAAATGTTTTATGAATTTGTGCTTTAAAAATTGAAGAGTTTGTTTAGTTGGCTCTTGTCAAACTAGAGAGTATGAAAAAATTACATGAAATACAATTAGTTAGCAAAACAACCAACAGATTGTTCAAACCAAAGACAAGCCACAGAGCATGGAATTCACTGTCTATCCTTTTGTTTATTTGTTTCTTTCAAATAATACAAGGCCACGCAATCATTCTATTTCACATTTCAGAGGAGGTTTATTTTACTATAGTTTACCACGGTCAACAAAGAAGGAAAAGTGAGGTCTTCTTAATACCCTCTGTAATTGTTCAAAGGGCAAAAAGAAAGTGACCATGGAAATAATTAAATTTCTATAAAGAACAAACACTGCTAAGTCTTTCCTAGTGAGACAAGACAACCTGTATTGTTAGTAGTTTATGCAACTCTTCTGAGGCCTAGGTCTGGACGCTGCAGGGTAACTAGGAACATATTACCCACAGCGAATTGTTATTTGGGAGGATGAATGTCACGTGATCCTTAGCACAGTTGAAAAGTCGACTCAGCAGGCTTTGGCTTAGTAATGTGCTTTGTTGTGAACCAGTGCCAGAGACAGCAGTGGGGAGACCAAGGGGGTGGCTGCAAAGAAAGCAAAAAGAGCAGTCTGACAGAAAGAAGAATGAACTGTCAAAGAAAATAAATCACAAGCGGAGCAGGACCAACTGATGACCTGCCACAAGCCTTCCCAGTAGGACTGCATGTGACCGACCCTGAAGTTGTCATATGGAGTGAGAGACCCCTGGATACCCCCATGATGTATAGAAACAACAGTCTCCTGCTCTCTGTGCTTTTCTTCTCTCTGTATAGATGCCACTGCTTTTGGCATTTTGGTCCGGTAGGAGTTTAAGAATAAAGTTGTATTTGTTTACAGTAAGCACAAAATCCTTTATCCAGCCATCGAGGAAAAAACAGGAACATCACTGACATTTTAAGCTTGAATGCTTTTTCTTTTTCACCACGTGAACTCGTGACAGAAATGACAGGGTTAACCAAAAGAAATAATTTTTCAAGATTCTTAATCGCTATTGGAACATTGGCGTTTAAGTAATTGCCTAAAACAACATTTAAAGATTAGCTTTTGAATGACTCACCCCTGGAAAACATAAAAAAAAGTAACTTACATTTTCTTTCATCAGCTAAACAGCATGAATGATGCTAAAGAAAAGGCATCGAGTGAACTTGATTCTACCAAACAGAAGATAGAGTCTCACACTAAAAATATAAAGGTATTGTGACTTAGAATAACCTTTTCCTTTTGTATTCAGAAACAAATATGATTATCTAGGGAATACTTTTAAAGTAGAGATATCTGAAAATGTATCTCCCTATTTTTTATTAAGTACATTTGGATACAATTTTGATTTTTTATTGTTGATCAAAGTAACAAGAATATATTTTTCACTAAAAAAATAAACCTTGGTTGGAAATTATTTTGGTTAAAGGAAAGATGTATTTCCCAGATTTAATAATTATAATACCATAGATTCAAAAAATGAATTAAGATTTAATGCCCAGCCCCAGATCTGTATTCAACATATTTTACATAAGCACATCAGTATTTGGAGTCTGTTTTCATCATTTTAGGGTGGAGCAATTGTTTTTAGAGCATCATGCCTAATAATGGGCTGAGACTGCATCTGGCTAAAGTCCAAGGCAAGAGTTTATTTTATTTTCTGCGGTGGGTTTTTGTACTACATCTTTGCAAAATTATACTGAGGGAAGTGTCAGAATTGGAAATTTTTTGTGTCGGTTCATATTGAGTTTGTCATGGACATACTTCAGTAGAATTTGTTAATAAGGTTGAAGAAGAAATAGTTCAGAATTTTATGTCACACACTTGAGATTTCTCTTGGTATTTGGATGTCATTGGGAGGTAAATGTTCTTATATTAAATGTAAAACATTTAAAAGTTTTTTGAGCTGCCAAGCTATTTTTTTTTTTATAATGAATTGAAAGGAAAACTCCTTTTCAAAGAGCTTTCTGGAATTAGCCATCTTATGAACATTTGATGTTTCAGTGTTAAAACAAAATAAATTAAAAAAAAACTTAGTAGTTTTTTCTAACTTTTGAGCGAAAATGGTATACTTAGAAAATTGATTCAGTAAATTACTGTAATGTTTAGCATTGTAGCCAAATGCTTGTGCTTGTGATTGTTTTATGGTAAAGTGTGGGAGGTCTTCATTATTATGTATTTTGTCTTTGCAACCTCAGCCCCTTTACTGGCCAGCCTTCATGCAGTCTCTCTATTTTGCATCTCGGACAGGACCTTCAGGATAAACTGGCTGATGTGAGTAAAGAGTTAAGTCATTTACGCACGAAATGTGCAGACAGAGAGGCTCTCATAAGCACTTTGAAAGTGGAACTACAAAATGTGCTGCACTGTTGGGAGAAAGAAAAGGCTCGAGCAGCCCAGTCGGAGAGTGAACTGCAGAAGCTTGCCCAGGCTTTCCAGAAGGATACTGAGGTATTACCTGACACAGGATGCCTGGCAGGAAAAGCCCTCACTAATCTCAGTTTTCTAAATTTACATACGTCAAGTGGCTGCTTTTACTGTGATTCAATCTAATTCACAAAATTGTTCTGAGCAGACTCTTTTGAAATATTCATGCCAGCCACGAAATCGGTCACTCCATTACTCTAGTGTCATCCCATTTTGGAGAGAAGTAATGGAGTTTAACCCCTCTGTCACTTGTGTGGCTTCATCTCTCTAGAACATCATATCCCAAGCACTGAGGCTCCCAACAGTTTTTTTCAAAATGTGCCTCTTTGCCAGTGACAGAATTATTTTTTATTTGAGTAGTTTGGTAGCTGAACACGGTGGAAAGAATATGTTTTTTGTAATCAGAAAGAACCGGACTTGGCTGCTGGTACCCCTGTTTACAAACTGTGAATATGGACAAGCCACGCACCTTAGTCTCCCCACATCTTAGTTTCCTTATGTGCAAAACAGGAATAACATCTTTAACAGTCTCCTTATTCTTTATAACTGTAGGATATTAACCAACATTTTGGAAAAGACAAGTCCCACAATACTGAAACTTTATTTAGATGCCCTGAGAGTTGCCGATTTTTATTTATTAATGAGTTCTTAAAATATTATGACAAAACTTTTCTATTCTGTATGAGCCTGTGTGAATGGAATTGTTATCTTATATATTCGTTTACCCATGGGATATAGAGCTAGTTTAGCTAGTGTGGAACCGGTTTATCGGAGTTGTCCTGCATATTGAGTTCATTACTCCAACAAATATGAACATGAATGCCAAGAGAGTAAAAAGGAAACATTCTTTCCACTCTTCTTACAGTCTGGGATTTAAATTGTGTCCACATGAAGGGGCTGGAATTGTTCTACGCATCAGATAATGATTAAAGGAAAGGAAACTAGAAGCCTGCCTGTATTGTAAAGTCAGCATGTCTACAGCGTTGTGGTTGGGTTCAACATGTGTGAATTGATTTTGGATCTTGAGATTCTCTTTTCACGCCAAATGGATGATTATCATGCATGGTTTATCACAGCCCAAGCAAAAAGGACATAATGGCGACACAATGAATTATCCTTTAGGAGGAACTCAGTCACTTGGCAAAATGTGGAGGGCGAAGACTTTTAGTGCCTGAATGTTACATTTGGTTAGTTATATTTAATAAGACTTTTAAACATCTCAACCCAGTTGAAAATGCAAAAGACATCTTTAATTGCTTAAAAAAGAAAAAGGCATAACATATTTATGAGGATTCTTCTGATATCCTAACTCAAGTTTGTGGTTGTAACTACATATTAAAATTTTTTTGGTTTTAACTTATTATATTTGGAAAAAGGCAAGGTGGCATATAGAGAGAATTAGAGATAAACATTTTTATATTTATATGTATTATATATATACACATGTAATACATATATACATACATAATATATACATACATTCATATATATAAAAAATTTCCCCACAATTTATAATTATACAACCTTTATATACAGTTTTCCTTATCTAGAAGATTAGTATTTCTATTTTTCCCTCTCAAATTTTCTCCTTTTTAACATTTTTCTTGCTGATCTACTAAAAAATAAAGGAACTTATTTTATCTACATAAAATATTCTTTTACAGCTTTACACTGACCTTGTCTTGAGTTCCACTCTCGGGCACTTTATAGATGAAGCACCTTATAAAGAGAACCGTTTGGCATTTTAGTAAATAAACTCTTTCTGTGTGTTCAAGATGGGATCAGCTTTTTACTGAATTCTATGGCATAGTGTTTTTGGGTTGTTAAACAGTGGATGGTTTAGTTACTACAATGGCAACATCTTTTTGAGAACTTTTTATTACGTATTTCTAATTGGACAGTTTGGAAAATATGTCTTGTGCAGCTGTGTCCATTTCTTTTTGCCTGTTACTTCGTAGTATTTAAACACCTTGAAATGCCCAATGTGCCAAATACTATATGAACTTACCAGGAAAACAAATGAGCCCCTCTTCCCTATCACTGTCTGCTTGGCCTAAGGGGCCGAGGATAGATTTCCTATAAGTGGTAAGCAAACTAGAGTCTCTGGAGGAGGAAGAAAGCTGAGTAATTGTGTACATGTAAAGCACAGATATTGGTGTAACTTTGTCTTTAACAGAGCTGAGTAGCACTCTTCTCTCTATAATGGTTTTCTGACTTAAATAACATCTGTTTTGGCAAATGTAAATATGAAATTATAGGATTACTGTCCTGATAGCTAGTCAAAAGGGCTTAGAAACAATTAGTGCAGATATGTCCTGTCAGTGCTGAGAAAGCTGATGCCCAAACAGTTACTTAGGACACATCCACAGGAGGAGCAGAGCTGGGGTCAGAACCCTGGTCTTCTGGCTTCTAGACTACAGATTTTGTTTTTGAATGCCAAGTTTAAGCAATTCCAAGGTTTTTTTTTGTTTTTTTTTTTTAAGATTTTGTTTATTTATTTGACAGAGACAGAGAGAGGGAACACAAGAAGGGGGAGTGGGAGAGGGAGAAGCAGTTTCCCCACAGAGCAGGGAGCCTGATGTGGGGCTCGATCCCAGGACCCCGGGATCACGACCTGAGCTGAAGGCAGACACTTAATGACTGAGCCACCCAGGCGCCCCAGCAATTCCAAGTTCTTATCTGATGCTTTTTTTTTTTTAAGATTTTATTTATTTATTTGACAGGCAGAGATTACAAGTAGGCAGAGAGGCAGGCAGAGAGAGAGAGAGAGGAGGAAGCAGGCTCCCCACTGAGCAGAGAGCCGGATGCGGGGCTCGATCCCAGGACACTGGGATCATGACCCTAGCTGAAGGCAGAGGCTTTAACCCACTGAGCCACCCAGGCGCCCCTTAGCTGATGCTTTTAAGTGTCAAAAAAGTCACTCAAAATGACAGTATATTTCAAGACTTGGATATTTTAATTCCTTTCCAAGTTTTTGAAACAAATTCTTCCCCACATGTAGTATGTATTTTACTTCTTACAGTGTTGATATACTGGAATTAATTTCTTTCTTTTTTTTCTCACAGGAGAAGCTAACCTTTCTTCATACCTTATATCAGCACTTGATAGCAGGCTGTGTGCTCATGAAACAACCAGAAGGCATGCTGGATAAATTCTCTTGGACTGAGCTTTGTGCAGTCTTGCAGGAGAATGTTGATGCCCTGATCGCAGACCTCACCAGGGCTAATGAGAAGGTAACTGTCCTCAGGCACCAGATACCTCTATTAAATTCAGTGACATTTGTCCACATCACAGTATCATTAAGAGGGGCTGACATTCATCTTATTTCAAAAAGAATTTGGATGTTAATAATTCAATACCATTAATTATGGCTTGTCTACAACTCAGTTTGATGCCATTGCTGTGGGCATGTAAATGTGACTGAAGTCTGTATGAAGTCTCTAAGCTCCACACTCTGTGCAGGACATGCTAATACTACTAGCCAGTATTAGCCACAGGGACCTAATTAAAAGAAAATAAATTAATCTTACTGATGAAGCAATTCAAAGAACTTAGTCATTTACATTAATAAACCAACTCTTTATGTTAGCATAAAATAGAAACAAGATACAGTTATTCAAAAACATGATCTTAACATTTTTGCTCAGGAAATAACGAGGTGTTACTTTAAAAGCACTTAAAAATTTAAAATTATGTTTTTTGGTATTTCTTGAATCATAACAAACTGTGTATTAACAGGCCCCATTCAGTGCTGCAGCGTGTTCAAAGTGTACATGGTAGCAGAAAACAGGGGACTTCACCAGCCCAGGAATTCAGTCTTTCAAACAAAAAAAACACAAAACAACCTCCCCTGCCCAAAACCCCAACAAGCCCTCTTTTGGTTATGGAAAATTTAAATGGCTTAGCAGACCAATGTATTCTGCTGATAAAGATACTGATTCTCATCTTGGCTCTACTGACTTGGTCAGGACTGTATTATGTGGTCTAGTTTCTAGATCTCAGTTGCCATGGCATTTGCTCTTACGCGACATGAAGAAAAAAACCTGTTACCTGAGTTTTTTTTTTTTTCCCCTCCTCCAATCTGTTGAACTAATGAAACAGCATCTTGGCCCAATTTTATAGTGAGAACATTTTACCTTGGTTCGATTGGCAAACACAACCTTAGGCACTGAGAAGTAGGATTAAGGAAATGAGGGAACACATTGTGAGAAGCACAGATGCTGTTCATGATTGAGAATGTGTGTAATGGGTTTGAAAATTACTGATAATTAAAATGAGTATATGTTTGAACCCTCTGAGATGGTATTATGTTTTAATAGTTTTTCATAGTTTCAAAACATCATTAATTGTCGTACATGTTAGATGATGATTTTCTTTCTAGGTGTTTTGAACGTGAAATAAAAAATGGTTATAACATTCTGTTTTATTATATGTAAAATGTTTGTAGATTTGTAAATCTCATTGAAATACTTCATTTCCCATTGAGATATGTGAATAGCTTGAGCTTTGGTTCTAGAAGTAAAAATATTCTTAATTTCTCAGTGAAGTTGATTATAGAATGAGTAACTATTAGAAAGAGAAAAAAGGCTTGTCATCTAAGCACAGATACATACAAATGACCCCATTTTCTCCTATGATATGATAATTTGTCCTACCAATTTCTGTTTCTTTTTTTTTTTCTTTTCCATTTTAACTTAAAATTTTTATGTGAACTTAAGGAACGAAACATAATAGAAGATTCTGGATGGTGTTTGGGGGGTTGCTACAAAGACATGTTTTGTGAACATACCTCATTCTCTGTTGCGTAACCCTATTTAGATAAGTCACCTGGAGTATATCTGTAAAAACAAGTCTGATACGATGAAAGAACTTCAGCAGACCCAGGAAGACACCTTTAACAAAGTGGCCGAGCAGATCAAAGCCCAGGAGAGCTGCTGGCACAAACAGAAGAAGGAACTGGAAATGCAGTACTCGGAGCTCCTCTTGGAGGTGCAGAGGAGGGCACAGGTGCGCTGCTTCTGCCAAGAGCTTTACCAGTACGGTGCTCGGTCTTTTGTTATTGCCAGTGTTTTCTTTGAGTAACAAGGCGAAATCAGTTTAGAACTTTTTGAGAACCACATAGAACTTGTCAGGCACACATGCATATGATTGTGCAAACACACACATATATGTTGGATTTGATTGAGAACAGAAGTTATGGGTAGTTAACATGACCGAATTTTTTCATATACAAATTATTGTCATCATAGTTTATATTGTTAACTGTGATCCCTTCCCCATCAAGAATAACATACTGATAGTGTCTACTTTTTTTTTGTTTTGTTACTGACTTTAATAATAGTTCATGTGTTCCCAAGATAAGATACTTAGATCCTGACTCAGTATTTAACCTCTTTATTTGGACCATAGTTATACTGGCTCATACTTGTATTGGCAAGTTTAATTAAAGGAAAGAAACCTTATTATTTTTATTTGTCAATAAATAGTTTCAGATTGCTTAAAAGAACACCATTCTGCTTTCCGTATGTGAACTTACACCGTTCTCTGTGAATTTGAAGAGTTAATACATTCACTAAAAGTAGCCATGTGTTTGGTGTTTGCAGGGTGCCATGATATGGTCTGCATTTTCTACAGCTGAAATAAAAGACCTAAACCATTTATTGTATTTTCTTTAGAGGTACCATTGGCATTCAGTGATATGAACAGATCTTGAATGTATAGTTTGATGTTTGGATTGTTGCAAAGACCTACGGAACCATATTCCACTTAAAACTTGAATTATTTCGTTACCCCAGAAAGTTCTTCTGTGCCTTCTTCTAGTTCCCACCCCATAGGCAGCCAGCGTTCTGATCCTGTCATCATAGATTACTTTCACTTGCTTTTGAGTTTCCTCTCAATGGAATCATTCAGTATGTACTGTTTGGTGGTTGGTTTATTTCACCCAAAATATTTTCTGAAACTCATCCATGTTGTTGTGTGTGTCAGTAATGCATTCTATTTTTATGGTCAAGTAGCATTCTATTTTATAATTAAACCACAATTTGATAGATTGTGAGTTGATGGATATTTCAGTTGTTTCCAGTTTTTGGCTATTGTAAATGAAATTGCAACAGATATTATAGAAGTATTTTGTTGACATATGGTTTTCATTTCTCTTGGTTAAGAGGGCAATTGCTGGGTCACAGGATAACTGTATTTTATTTTTTAAGTCTCAAATTTTTTTTCAAAATGGTTGTATTATTTTATATTTCTACCACCAATATATGAAAGTTTTTATTATTCTTCATCCTCTGCAACATTTGGTATTGTCAGTCTTTAAAATTTTAGCCATTCTAGTTGTTTTAAAAAGGTATTTCATTGTGGTTTTAATTCATATTTTCCTAGTGATTAATGATGTTCAGGACTTTTCATGTTTTTATTGGTCATTCATATATCTTCTTTTGTGAAATGTCTCTTCAAGTGTTTGCCCATTAAAAATTTGGGATTGCTTGTGTTTTATTAGTGATTTGTAAGAGTTCTTTAGATATTCTGGATATAAATCCTTTCTTATACATGTGCATCACAAGTTCCCATACTCCCTTGTCTTTTCATGTTTTAATATTTCTTTTGCTGATCACAAATCTTAATATTTTAATCAAGCCCAACCTATAAATCTTTTTGGGTATTTATTTTTATGTGGTAAGCAATGTTTCTGTACTCCAAAGTTGTATGAATAATCTCCTATTATTTCTTCTAGAAGTTTGAAAATTTTAGCTTTCATGATGAGATCTATGATCCATCTCAAGTTAATTTTCATATTTAATCTTAGGTAGAAGCTGAGGTTCATTTTCCCCCATATTTATTGTTCCCATACCATCGTTCACGACTTTATTTTCCTCATTGAATAGCCGTGGTCCCTTTGTGAAAACAAAACAAAAACAACTGATCATATATAAGAACCACAGGTTTGTTGGGTATCTGTAAAGTTTTGCCTTTTCCAGGATGTCATATAAGTGGAGTCATATGTTGCCTTTTGGGTCTGACTTTTTTTTCACTTAGCAAAATATGTTTGGGAATTATTCATGTTTTTGCATATATCAGTAGATAATTCCTTTTTACTGCTGAGTTATATTCCATTGTATGGATGTATCACTGTTTATGCTTGCTGATGGGCCTTTGGGTTATTTTTATTTTCTAGTAATTATGACTAAAGAACCTATCATGGATAGGTTGTTGTGTGATCATAAGTTTTCACTTCTCTTGGGTAAATACTTAGAGGAGTGTGATTTCTGGGTTATATGGTAAATACATATTTATATGTTATATAAATGGTTATATGGTAAAAACTGACACTGTTTTCCCAAGTGGCTGTACCATTTTGATTTCCCACTAACGTGTAAGGGAGTTCTAATTAGTCTGCATCTGTGCCACCATGTGGTTTCATAATTTTTTTTCCTTTTTAGATAGCCTAGTAGGCAAGGAGTGGTTGTGGTTTTAATTTCCATTTTCCCTGATGAATGGTTTTTTCATATGCTTATTTGCCATCTGTACATATTTTTGGGTAAATAACTTGTTCATATCTTTTGCCCACTTTTTAATTGGATTGCTTGTTTCCTTGTAGTTGAATTTTGAGAGTCATTTACATATTCTGAATAGAAGCCATTTGTCAGGTGATTTGCAAATATTTTCTCCCCTTCACTTAAAAGTACTTTGGCAGAGCCAATATTCTACATTTTTATAAAGTCCATCTTACCAAATTTTTTCTTTTATGAGTTATGCTTTTAGTGTTGTATCTAAGAAGTGTTTGCTTAGTGCAAGATCACCAAGATTTCCTCCCATTTTTTTCTTCTATATGTTTTGTAGTTTTAAGTTTGCAAATAGGTCTATGATTCATTTTCAGTAAATTTTTGTAAAGATGTAAAGTATGGGTTGATGTCCATTTGCTTTTCATATGGATATCCAGTTAATCCAGCATTGTTTATTGGAAGATTACCCTTTCTCTATTGAATTGCCTTTGAACTTTGTCAAAATCAATTTGCTATATTTGTACAAGTCTGTTTCTGACTTCTCAATAGTATTCCATTTATTTGTGTGTCTATTCATTAAACTATACTGATTTGATTTTTGTAGGTTTTTAGTAAGTCTTGAATTCAGGGAGTGTGACTCTTCCAACTTCCTTTATTTCCTATCAGTTTTTTTTTAATTGAATAAATTTAACATGTAACATTATGTAAATTTAAGGTATACATTGTGTTAATTTGATACATTTATATATTGTAATATGATTGCCATTGTAACGATATTTATCACATTGCATACTTACAGTACAACATTTTTATTATTGTCTATATTCAATAAACTGTGCATTTAATCTCCATGGCTATTTTAGTACTCATAAAAGTTTGTACCCCTAAGCAACATCATTTTAACCCCTCTTTCCAATCCTCCATCCCCTATCCCCTGGCAACCACCATTTTGCTTTCTTTCTTTCTTTCCTTTTTTTTTTTTTTTTTTTTTAGCATGTTTGATCTTTTAAGATTCCATGTATAAGTGATACATTTAATACACCTCTTTGTCTGGCTTACCCCCTTTAGCATAATGTGCTCAAGGCCCATTTATATTTTTGCAAATGATAGGATATCCTCCTTCCTCATGGCTGAATAATATTTTGTTGTGTATATACACCACATCTCTTTCATCCATTCATCTGGTTATAGGCATTTGGTTGTTTTCATATCATGACTACTGTGTATGGTGCTGCAGTACTATGCATGGGGATGCATATGTCTCATCGAATTCCTGTTTTCACTTCCTCTGAGTTTATTCCCAGAAGTGGAGTTGATGGAATGTATGGTAGGTGTATTTTCATGTTTTTGAGTGACCTCTATATTGTTTTCCATAGTGATTGAACTAATTTACATTCCCATATTCTCACCAGTACCTGTTGTCTCTTGTCTTCTAGATGCTAGCCATTCCAGCAGGTGTGAGGTGATATCTCAGTGCAGTTTTTATTTGCATTTCCCTGATGATGAGTGATGTTGAGCATCTGCTCATGTGCTTGTTGACCATTTTGTTGTCTTCTTTGGAAGGATGTCTATTTAGTTCTCCTGACCATTTTAAAAATGGGACTGTTTTTTCATTATGAAGTTGTGTTAGTTCTTTATGTATTTTGGATATTAACCCCTTATCTGATAAAAATGTGAAATTTTTTTTCCCATTTTGTAGGCTGCTTTTTCATTTTGTTAGTTTCTTTTGCTGTGTAAAAGCTTTTGAGTTTGATGTAGCCCTGTTTATTGGTTTTTGCTTTTGTTGTTTGTGCTTTTGACATCATACCCAAAAGATCATTGCTAAGTATCAATGAGTTTCTTTCCTATCTTCCAGGAGTTTTTTGGTATCAGGTGTTATATTTAAATCTTTGACCCATTTGGAGTTAATTTTGTGAGTTGTGTGAATTAGGGGTCCAATTTTATTGCTGTGCGTATGTTCCTCCGGCTTTTCCCAGCACCATTTGAAGAGAGTATCTTTTACCCACTAGGTGTTCTTGGCTCTCTTGTCCACTATTAGTTGACTGTATATACCAGGATTTAATTCTGGGCTCTTTATTCTGTTCCACTGATCTATGTGTCTGTTTTTGTGCCAGTATCATACTGTTTTTATAACTATGACTTGCTGATGATTTGATCTTATATATAAAAAACTTTAAAGAGCCAATCAAAAAACTGTTGGGTTAATTAATGATTTCAGTAAAGTGGCAGATTAAAAAATCAACTAACAGAAATAATGAAATACTGGAAAAAGAAGTAAAGAAAACTATCCCATTCACAAAAATTACAAAATACTTAGGAATAAATTTTATCAAAGAAGTGAAAGATCTGTACAATGAAAACTGTAAGACTTAGCTCAAAGAAATCGAAGACACAAGCAAATGGAAAGACTTCCTGTGTTCATGGATTGAAGATTTCACATTGTTAAAATGGCCGTACCATGCAAAAGCCATCTATAAAGTCAGTGCATTCCCCACCAAAATA